TACCAATAAAATCAATAAACATTTGCAGACTGTTGGTAGTGATATTGTTGAGATAAGGTAGAGTTACAGCCCTGTTTGATCAATGTTTATTACAGGGCTCATATTTTTTTAATAGAAGTGGATCAGAAAAGCGTGGGGTTTTTTCCCCTTCCGGCACTGGATTCGGTAGGTTTCATATACACAGAAACTTTATCTGGCTTGTTTCATTTAAATGTGTAACAGTGATTGAAATTCAAAAGTATCCTGGTTTGAACTAAAAGTTCCTTTCTTCACTCCCCCCAGGTTAATTTGTTGGCTTTTGGAGTGATTATTTATAAAGTATTTCGACACACTGCAATGTTAAAGCCAGAAGTTAGTTGTTATGAAAATATAAGGTAAGTTTGCCATTTAATAGAAATTCTACCTTCTGTAAGTTTAAATACAGCCAGAGATGAAAGTGAGTATTCAAAAATAACAATTTAATCTTCTGGAAGATTTGTAGAAAAATAAAGATTTTTTTTTTTCCTGTTATCCCCTCATATAATTTGGAGATAGACTTTGCAATCTTTATTCCCATTGAGCAATACCTTGTACAGTAACACTGGGGTTGTGTGAGAGGTGTACGAGGAATACAATGAGTGACCTGTATCAAGCAGAGGGTAAAGTCTGATGGCAAGGTTAAAGAAGTAATTGTCCTTTTTTTCTTAAGTACTTTCCACAGCCTCTGTGCAAGCCAAACTAGATTTCAAAACTTATGCCTGAATTGGGACCAAAATATTTGCCTTGAAGTAACAAGTAATATAGCGATAAGAGAATCAAGCCATTCATGTTATTTGTAAAAAGTCTACAGTAGGACATTGTGCTTCTGTGGCGTTGGGGGTGGGGGGGATTCTCTCCAGGATTTTTACTTTGCATGCTGCTATGATTTTTCCATCAACTCACTCTCTTTAAAACTGATTTATAGGGACCTTGAAAACCGTTTGTGCAGGAAAAGCTGAAGTGTACTACAGGGAACATTGAAAACAACTTACTGTTTGTGTTGCTTAGGAACACTCCTGCAGTTTCAATGCATTGCACTAGATTTATAGTTAGGATTTAGCAATTGTTTGATTGATTATTTTCTCTTATTCCTCACCCTTCGTAGCTTCATGTGGTGAGCTGGTTTTAATGAAGTTGAAAATTATTCATTTTCAGAGGAACAGTGCTAAAAATGTCTGTTGTTCAAAGGAAGTCCTGCAATGACTGGGCTGAGAATGAATAAGAAAGTAATCAGTGGCTTCATTTCCAAGACAGCATGCTGTAATTGGCTCAAGTCTGTGAGCAGGGCTCTACAGCATGTTGGAAAAAAAAAAATCATAGCAAATCAGTTCCTATAATTTTAAAGCATCAATATGCTGACCCAGGAACTATTTGAGAGTATTTGTGTTCTAAAAACAAAAATTTTTTTTTAAAAAGGGAAGAATGAAAGAAAGAAAGTCTAGTTTTACAACTGGCACCGTCTTCTGCAATGAACCTGAGAGGCAGCCTGGGAACCCTTTGATGTCATGCACATGTACTGACCTAAGAGCATACTGTACATTTTTCTGGGTTATTTTTTGAGGAGGATAAGGGGGAGGAGGAAAAGTGGGGGAATGCTTCATAACAGACATATGTTTTTCCTTGGGGAATTACACTAACAGTAGATTTAAATCAAATCATATGGTGCTGCAGTACACCAGAGAAAACGTATTTGAAGATTAAAGAAGCCAGTGTTTTAAGGCCCTCCAGTTTTACTCCTTTGCTCTTCTGCAGTGATTATGTGAGCCTATTCGTGCCACAGTGCTGCAGCACACCCTAAAGAGCAGCCCATGCATTCGCACTTCTCAGGCCTTTGCTGCTGTGAAAAAATCGCCTAGGCAGCATTCACCATCCAAAGCGGTGGCGGAAGGAAAATAGCACGCACCCGCATGTTGTTTGCAATGTTTCCTTCCTCTCTAGATCCTGTGCCCGAGGTGCTCTTGCTCTCCTGTTCCTCCTTGGGGCTACCTGGATCTTCGGGGTCCTCCACGTTGTACAGGGATCTGTGGTTACTGCATATCTTTTTACAATCTTCAACGCATTCCAGGGGATGTTCATCTTCATATTTCTTTGCGTGCTGTCTAGGAAGGTAAGTGTCCCATTCCTAGTGGGAAGTGACTCAGGTAGTCACGTGTACCTACACAGGCAGGTGCCCAGCCCTGAAGTGGGGTCGCGGTGCAAACGTTTTATCGAAGCAAGGGAGGAAATCCTTGTGCCATTGATGGGGGAGAGGAGGGAAAAGGGGAAATTTTCTTATTGCTTGCAATAGGAAAGAACATCTGCCCCAATTCTTACCTTCTCACATATTTCCTCCTAGTTTTAAAAACAATGTATGAAACATGGAAAAATGTTTTTTAAAATTGTAAAACTGGTTATAGTGCCATTAACCCAGTGAAATAATGCAACGGGTGCAATAAAACTCACTTCCGGTCTTTGCAGTTAGCGGCAGGATTAACGCTACCCACACTATCCCGAGATGATACTTTCTTCAGCATCCTGTCCTAAGTCAAAAGCAGCCCCACCTTAAAACATCTAGTAACAGGAGCAGTACGACATGAGTTAAAAGACATACAGACCTATTAATAAGTCTATTTCATATTTTAATTCAATATTTTTATTTCAGATTCAGGAAGAGTATTATAGGTTGTTCAAAAACGTTCCTTGCTGTTTCGGCTGCTTGAGATAAATGGAAGGAAAACATGCGTGAGCACCTCAGTGGACGAAGGGAGCAACCTAGATGATGTTGTTATGGATACTACAGGAAAATATGGTATTGTGAAAGTATGAAATGAGCCAGTGAGAAGGCATATCTCTTAACTGAATTATTGACTGGTTTTGTACATACGTGTGCATTCATGCAGAGCATTTATATTATGCTGTACACAAACAGTATACAAAACCAAATGGATTATTGCAAAACAAATATTAATGAAGACCAGGGAAAGAAGCAAATTTCTAAAGAAGCTCAAGACTTTTCATGATTTAGGATTTGTTTCTAATATTAGAAATATCTGCAGTTCTTGAAAGCAAGATACCAAAAACCAACTGGCACAGCAGATTTTGTGAATTGCTTTGCTAGTGGAAACATGTTCACTGTCTTTTTGCAGTAATGAGCTTCTTAACATTAAGTCATATGTGGCCATCTGCAGGGAATGGGTTCCATTAAGGAGTCAATTGATAAAGATCTGCTTCAGTCCAGACTTTTGAAAACACTTCTTTTAAATTAAAGTAGATTAAAAAAGGAATTTGTTTAATATTATTCTCTTATCACTCTGAAATATATATTTGTATATTAATCAATTCTTTATTTTTATAACGTTTAAAGAACTGTTTAGATCTAAAGAGCTGAGGTCAGATCTGATACAAGAATGGTGGGACAGCCATTTCATAAGTGAAAGATCATTTTGTGAATACTTTGAAAAAGATCTGGTTCTTGTTTTATTTAATTGACAAAAAGACTGAGATCTGCTAAACTGGCACTATGATTTTGGAGGCTGTGGGAAGAAGATGCTTTCACAAGTTTGTCACTTGATAGAGATACTTGGAATCCAGACCTTGTAGGATCAAATTAAAAATAAAGTGGTAGAAATCACCCATGCAGAAGAATACAGATTTAAATTCAAGGTCATATGCCTCCATACCACGTAAAATTGTGATTACAGCAGTTTTCTGTACTCATAGCATCTTTGAGTCAAGCAGTTGTCTTCCCCTGAGGCTCCTGGCTTTGAAACACTTACCCTGTGTTTAACCTTAGGAGCATACATAGATCTACTGAAATCAAAGGGAGTACTTGAGGTGCAAGTTTTGCTGGATCAGGGCATAAACACGATGCATCAGTAGTTCCACCTTTGCCATGCTACTTATTTTAAAAGTATGCTTTACTTTCACCCTTTTAGCACCTAGCTTATGTGAAGTGCTGAGCAATCCTCAGTCCATGCTGCCTTCTCAGGAAGTGTCTAGGATCTCAGATGAAGCCCCGTATTTTTACCAGTGAGGCACTGTAAATATGTAGTTGTTGATAAATCCCACTGTTGCGTTGTCTGTTAAAATAAGCACTAGTCTGAATTTTATTTATATTAAAGGAAACCTTGTTTTGGTAATGGTCAAATTTGTCTGGTTTTTATCTTTTTTTCCGTATAGACAAGGCTTTCATTGTATGCACTGCAGTGACATGCTTCATTAAGTATATTCCATGTCTCTGTCAAAATTTTGGAAACCACAAAAGGAATCTTTTTTTCTGAAAAAAAATTATTTCTGTTGGTCCTTTGAATGTAAAATATGTGAATAAACTGAAGCGCTTAGCTTTCACATTTCGACATGTTTGCCTTCATTTAAATAAATACAGTGGTAAAAGTTCTCATGGTTATATATTATTTGCCCTGAATTATTTGCTGTATTTCCTTTGCTGATGTATATGTTCTTCAAGGCTTGTGAAGATGCAGATACATATTACTTAAAAGAGTATTTTTAGAAGGATATCTACTAATACATCATTTTTAATCTCCTGCAGAAATGTAACCTATAGTACGTCTGTCTGGACAAAGAAGCACCTCTAGTAACTATCTAATGACTTCAGCATGTTCAGTCAGATTGAAACAGTTCCTTGGAAAGAAAATATATCATAAAGTGTTTAGGTTACAATAGTCTTTTTAATGAAAGAACATCTTTTATAGGAAAACTGTGCTCTCCAGTCTCTGGGTCAGATCTTCATTGAAACTCTGTTTTCCTTACATGCAAGGACGAGTTTTCACCTTTTAATACAGCACATAAGGACCAGAAAAATTTTGTTTAGTTTCATTACCTTAGAGCCTGAAGGATATTGTAATTGTCCTCCCTAATGCATGCAAAAATACTGACGATAAATAAAAGGGTTGGTTTGTCACAGCCCTTAGTAACACGAGCCCCAACCCAGCAGAGAGAGAGGAGAGACAATGGACATAAACTGAAAAAAGAGAGGTTTCAGCAAGTTATGAAAAAAAAAAACCTTTTCACCGTGAGGGTAGTCAAGCATTGGAAACGGTTGCCCAGAGAGATTGTGCAGTTGTGTTAAAATCTTTGGAGGTTTTTAAGACTGGATAAAGCCCCCAGCAACCTGATCTCATACCTGACCCTGCTTTGAGCAGGAAGGTGGATGAGATGACCCTCTGAGGTCCCTTCCAGTCTGTATTGTTCTATGAGTCTATGATATGAAATATCAAATCAGAAAAATAACAGTTGGGCATTAGTTATGATTTTGTTAAGCAAACTTGCACTCAAGTGCCATGCATCAGCTGAAGAAACTGTTTTTCCAAAAAGAAATTTGGGTGACATATTTGTCAGATCAACTGGTAACTAGCTGACTGGTTTGAAAAATAAAAACTTTGTTCGGCATCTTTTCAGATTACATGCTTTTGCGAGGTATATGACATCTCCAGGTGGGGCCAGCAGGAAAAAAAAAAATCAATATAAAATGTTAAGGTTTCACTCTGAAAGCAAGTGCTTGCTGAAGAGAGAAATTGTTTCCATTAAACCAATCAAAGAAAAATTTGTGTTCAATGTTGCATTTCAAGGTGTGCTTCAGAATATAATAAATAAGGTCTGGATTAAGAAAGACTGGTTTATTCTGAAATAATTGTTTCCTCAAAGAATTGGAAGTGTATTTCAAAGAAACCGCAACATTTCGGAGTTAATTATCATCACAGCCTTTGGGAAGTTCAGTCTGCCAGAGCTGTGCTGGTGAACAGATTGTCTGAGCTCTTTACCTACTGGAAAGAAGCAGGTAGGCATTGAAAACACCATACATACTGTTCAAATTTATTTCAGACTTTCCTCCACTCTCCAGTTGTCACAGTCCTTCAGCTCAGAACATGGTGGTGCCCCGAAAGCCAGGAATTTCAAACTCATGCACCTTAATGACCAGCCATATAAAGCAATGTTGCACATGGTGACATTAGGCAGAATGAACAAATATTTGCAGGGCTGATTCCTCCGGCTGCTATACCTCCAGCATCACTTTTCTCACCAATAATACCACTTTTTATACCTTTGTCATGATAGTCGCTTAAAGCCCAGTTCAGAATCAGTCTTGCCAGATGCCAGTTAGTCACAGGAGATGTCCTACTTCCTTCTTTGAAACCTTGATAGATGAGATAAAAAAGCCAGAACTTAACCCATGAAGAAAGTTAAAACTTTCTTTCCTTTGGAAAAAGAGCTAGTAGGAGGAGGGCTCCTAGCCAACAACCTGCTCCAGCCTGTGTTACTCTTTTCACTTTGTTCTCATACGTTCAGGACACGCACATTACTGTGCTGTGAGATTACAGAAGTGAAGACGCTACCTCACCAAAGTCATCCCCCAAAACTAATTTTATATAAAATTAAGCCTTTAAGATGGATGCAGACTTGAAAACAGCTGGTCATCCATGCACCGATACTCCATTTAACCACAACCAAAATGTCAAGTGCAAACGTGCTAAAGCATTTTCACAAGTTGCCTGGCTCCCTGCCAGCTTAGCTCTCACGGCCATTGCTGTGGGCAGCCTGTCCACATAAACTGCAGCCACATGAAAGACTGTACTGCCTTTTTCAGACTCTGTATCTCCATGACAACCCTCCCGGACAAACCCTATGGAGAACCAAGAGCCCTTGCAATATCCAGACTTCGCCAGGAGTCAGATACACGGCCACGCAGGATACCCGGAGGTCCTAGAACTGCCGCTTTGAAACAAGCTGCAAGATGTCACGAATGGAAAGTACTGTAATTCCGTCAACTTTACTGTTACACAGCAAAATTGACAGCAGCAACTCTACTGGGTAAGAAGAACAGAAAGTATGAAAAAACACACACAACAAAAAGTAGCAGTAAAACTGACTCCTGAGGATGTACTAATTTTTTTCAAACTGGAACAAAAAAAAAGCTTAAAAAGCATATAGAAATTATCATGAAACATAAACATGACTTTTGACTGATTATATTTATGATAACAAGACCTTTTTTTTTTTTT